GTGTGATCAGAGTCAGATAATATTATAAGTTATAAGATAGGATGAATTATCTGTTGTCCCAATTAACAGATGTTGCTTTTGATGTTTTAATAATATATGTTTAATAGACAAGACATTCTATATGATTGCTGAATTGTAATTATTACGATATTGTTCAAAGATGAAATATCATGTATTACAAAGACATATTTATTTATTTTGTTGTGAAAGTTTTTAATAATTTAGTAGTTATTCGTAAATACGAAAAAATTTACTTTGTTATCAGAGAATTTACTTTGATATCAGAGAATTGATCCTATTTGTCAACTTCTCTCAGAGATAACAGGATAACACAATCTTTTTTATTTTGTACAGCGATATTATAAAGAAAATAACGAAATTTATCATTTACCCGTATCGATGCGTTATAGGTGCGAGTTTTTATTCAATAATTACAGTTTAATTGTTCACAATTTACGGTATTTACTCATGTTTACGCAACATTAATTTGCTTCACATGATTTACGAAGCTTTCATAAGTCGTCCATTTTAGTATCGGCTTTTTTTTTATAAAAAAGAGAAGAAAAATTTGTAGGCCGCAAAGTTCTCTCTCATGTGGAAATAATTAATTTCCCATAGTCAGCGGCGTGCATGCGGGAAAGATCGCGTGTGAAATATCAAGCCGAGGAGACATGAGATACCATCGACAATGAAGATTATTTCTTGATGTATAATTTCGAAACATCGATGGGACGTCTTTGTATTTTCTATTTCGCAGAAAAATAACTGTTTCCATCGGTTTCAAGCAACGATTTATTTTCCAATTCTAAAAGTTTTACAATATATAAATGTATAAATGCAAATGTATGTGTGTACGCGCGCGCGAACATTTATGTATATATGTATGTACACATATACGCACACACAGATGCATTTATCTCCTGGGATATGAATTTAAATGTGATATGAAATGTGGATGTATAAAATTTAATATCGGGACGATATGATTTATCTCATTCAATGCTTCCTGTATTATAAATCGGCAAACAGATTATTAGAAAAACTCCCCATCCATCCGGAAACCTGGCAACTGACATTAAAAATATTATTAGTATGCGTACAATCGCTGCACGGAGGGATTCTTTCCTCCCTTATCCACATATTAGACGTGGAATATTTACAGAGCAGCGAATGCCATATGTTTGAAACGTAGAAGCGTATATAGGAGAGTCACTATAAATAAGAGCCGCTGCATATACTCCTTCCTCCAATCCGTACGTTGCCGTGCTGCGCATTAAAATTTTATGTTGCGACGATTTTCCGCAAAGATTACCGGTGCGATTTGTTAGAAAAAACAACGTTTTCGTCGCGAGAACAATGTTTTTTTTTTTCGACAGTCGCGGTTCGATGATGTCACTCGGAGTTGATCGCATCTTTTGCAAAGGCTGGATCGTTGAACCGGATGACCATGGAGCGTAAAACGATATACGCCCCAAAGTGAATGCATTACAGTACAGAGAAGTAAGGCAAATGAAATAAAATAATGTGTAAACGCGGATACGACGAGAGCGCGGAGAAGAGCGGGACGCGGCCGCGGCGCGCACGCGCCTCTTTGCGAGTCGATAATGCACCATCGAGGCGGCCACCAACACCGATCCGCATCGGTGATCCCGATTCAGGTATCCCCGAAGTCACTGCAAACGATGGGATGCCGAGCAGCCGCTACTCCATGCGCGTCCCATTCGCGTCTCGTCCTTTTCCGCCGGCCTCGGATGGGACAACGTTTTATTTCGCCGGGCATTGTTCATGCGCGCCCGTCGCACCTTCGATAGATCGATACACGCGATTTCGGAGGTATCGTTTCGATTTATTGGGGACACTCTGTGTCGTCGAAACCTCGGGAAACGTCCCGTGATATGTTCAATGGATAAAAAAATGTCGGAGAGTTTCAACATGAATATTTGTGAGGCGCACACGAAGCGTGATCCTCCCTTTCGATCCTTGAGTTTGATCCGCGCTAGTAGACGATAGTTATTCTTTCCTCGTTAAATTTCGGTCCACCGTAACACCTACGACGGTGTTGACCTACAACACCAGATTTCTCCGGATGCGGACGATCCTTCCTCTCTCGCTCCGCGGTGATTCAATTTGATTTACCTACTTTTGCACTTGTGCGTACGGGTTCGAAGTTACTCGCGCGTATCGTTACCGCGAGATCGTTATCTCGAGAACCTGTCGTGTGTGTTGCGGACGTGAATTACTATATTTCGTCGGAAGTTCGCGGTGCTATTTATAATGCGGCGGATCGAGTTTTGCGAGAATCCCGGACGATCGTACTTTTCATCGCCTGACGTTACTTCTCTCGGTCTCTCGCTTGAGAATTGCTGAATTTTCGTCCATAGAAATCGAAATAATTCAATTACTCCCCGCAAATTTATGCAATATTATAAACATTTGTAGTGGAATGTCGTGTGGGAGAAGTTTCATAAGCCTCTTGTGTTTTTGTTTAGGGCTGATAGTAGGAATGCTACCCTATTATCAACGTCCCTCGCGACGAGATCGGTACGTGCACGAAGGTGCGCTACGAAGGAAGAAGGAAGAACATCGATATCCAGCGATGCAAGGTGCGTATAACTGTTGCTATCGCTGGACCGCTAGGAGAATGCGCGCATGCGAAAGAGAAGCACGGGAAGGGAGCGTAGACGGAGCGTCGGAGAAAGTTAGTTCGATGATGCGAAAGATGGAGATAGCGAGGAAGACACGGCGACGTTGTAAAACCTGTAAACGGATCAGAGAGCAAGCGGATCGGAGCGGACGTGGAACTCGTCGGCGAATTTGGTCCGGGAGGGGGACCGGACTAACATCTCTGTGATCATTTCGCGTGTCCCTTCATCGGGAAAATGTCTCTTCTCTGAGAATCCTCGGATTACCGAAGTTTCCTTGTAAATCGAGATTCAGAAGAATCCGACTCTCTTTCCTTGGCGCAGCCTTCGTACTTTGACCTTTAGAGATTAATACATTGTTCAGAGATCTGCTTATGGTCTTAGGTGATGTGAATAATGAGCTCGATTTGCGCGCCAGATAGCTGCGTTAATGAGAAAGAGGGGGTGGGAAGAGACAGCAGGGAGTGGAAGAGAGAGTAGGTGGGAAGAAGGGAGGGGGAGGTGAATTGCCGGCCTGGTAGATTACCTTTTACTTACTTCGGCCACAGCGATCAAACGCCGGAAAGTTGGACGTAGGGAGGATAAAAGTTTGCATCGATACGATCCGGTCGTGTCTCGGAAGAGATTTCTAAATTACGTATTTCTTTGCGAGCCAGGAACGCCGCCCTTTTTCTTCCATTATCTTCTATTTGGAGCATGATTCAAATTAATCTGGGCTCTGATAAGCTCACATATAATACAGCACATTAGCGATAACGAATGATAAAAATGCCTCCTTTTCATACGCGCCAAAAGTATAATCTAAAGATTCCTTGACAAATATCGAGAGAAATATAACCGATGCGATATGAAAAATAAATATCCTGGAAATGAGAGATATTTCTTTTTCTTTTAATCCCACGACGATCACGACGCGGGATTAACGTGAAACATTTCGCTTTGTGTATCGGAGCTCTTCCGAATCCCCGGACGCGTATCGGATATGTTGTAAATAATTCGCGAGCATTCTAATTATTCCGGTGCTTTTTCGCGAAACTCAGCGGTAGACCGGAACAAGTGCTGAAATTGCAATGGCCGGGAGAAATCGCGAGAAAGAGAGAGAGAGAGAGAGAGAGAGATTATTCGGAGCCATGATTCGTTCAGAAGTGACAAGTGTCCCCGATCCAAATCCGAGTTGGGTCCTACTTATTAGAAAAGATATTTTAGGTCGCACCTGTATCTCGCGTGAAAACCGGTTGACGCGCGCTAACCGGCGCGGGACGCGTTTATTTTTCAGACGACGCGCTAGCGCACAGTTTGGCGAGTCCTTTTATGGGCATCGAAGGCTGAATTTGGAGCGGGCGATTTCGTACGGAAGGGACGAAGAAGGTATCTAGATGCTAGGTAGGGCCAGGACAAAATAGAAAATAGAGAAAGAGAAAGAGAGAGAGAGAGAGAGAGAGAGAGAGGTTCGCGAGAGGACGACAGACAAAAGAGTAGCGGGACTCGAGAGGGAAAAGATAAGAAAAAAGGGGCGGACAAGCGTCGGAGGAAGAGAAGAGGGATGGGCGCTGGGATGGGCAGGAGCGGCACGACCGGCGGCGGTCTGCTCGAAGCGCTTCCCACAGGAACTCCGCTCCACGTGGCTATGCTCGGCCTCGACAGCGCCGGCAAAACAACCGCTCTTTACAGACTCAAGTTTGACCAGTACCTTAACACCGTGCCGACCATCGGCTTCAACTGCGAGAGAATTCGCGGCGGCATCGGAAAGGCCAAAGGTACGTTTCTGCATCATTTCCTCTCCGGACTTTCGCTTTTGTTTTTCCTTTTTCTTTGTTTTTCAAAGTTAATAGTATGCCAATAATAAATACAAGGTGGCACACCAATACCAGGTGGTACATCAATAGGGTAATGATTACAAAAGTAAAGAGTAAAAAAACAAAATGAAGGTAAATCCCAAAGGTAAAGGGTAAACATAAGATAAAGGTAAATTCAAAAAGTAAAGGACGAAAATATGACGAAGGTAAATTGCAAAAATTGTAAAGGTAAATCTAGTCAGATCGTACATTTATACGCAGTTTCATTCTTTTGGAAACCCCGGTCGCCTATTGATATTATTTAGTAGCAGGGCCACCATTCAGACACGGATTACATCAACATCCTGGTTTTTGACACACGGTATTTTCGGTTGACGTAGGTGTTAATTTCCTCGTGTGGGACGTCGGCGGGCAGGAGAAGCTGCGACCGTTGTGGAAATCGTACACAAGATGCACCGACGGCATCATATTCGTCGTGGACTCTTGCGACACCGAGAGACTCGAGGAGGCGAAAATGGAGCTCACTAGAACGGCGAGAAGTCCGGACAACGCGGGCGTACCGATTCTGATACTCGCCAACAAACAGGATTTACCCGGTACGTATTATGCAAGATACAATGTTAGCGTTTCAAGATTGAGACCGTTGTTATGTAGGACGGCAAGACGTGCGGGAAAGTTTCATACAGAATCTCGATATGGAGATCTTCTGCAAAGATTCGTCGAACGACACGCTGTATTGGTTCCACACCCGATAATTTAACTTGACGTACAATTTTTTATTTTCTTTTCTTATTTGCGTAAGATTTTTATCGGCCCATCATCTTTGATAAAATTAATAAATGCTTCTTTAACGCGTTGAAGTGGTCACTAGTGACCGGCGCTATAATACTATCATATCTTATTAAGTTACGTATAAAATGCATTTAATTTGCACCTATCTAGTCGTTTATACGGTCAACAAAGAGAACCAATGAAACTAGGTAAAAGATATATGTATCTCAAATTACATTTACATATTGCACTCGTAGTGTTTCGATTGTTAGGCTTCCGTGCAATCAATGGAAATCACCGATCACACTAAATAAATATTTCTACATTTTTTTCTTATTCAATGTAGTTTATTGGACCTTACAAATAGCATACAGGAGATTTCCAATGTAAGGAATAGTACAGTAGGCATAATTGTGCTTGTTGTAAGTCACTTTAGCCCTTGGATTTTCTACCCGGTTTCGTTAACAACCTCCTTATCGTGCAGGCGCGAAGGAGGTCGGCGAGTTGGAGAAGTACTTAGGAGTGTTGGAGCTTGCCGGTATGCCAGGTAGCGCCTGCATTCGCGTACAGCCAGCGTGCGCTATTACGGGCGAGGGACTTCACGAAGGCCTGGACACGCTATATCAGCTGATTCTGAAGCGGCGCAAGCTGGCCAAGCTGAATCGGAAGCGGGCCAGGTAGGCCAGGGCTTCGGAAGACTGCACATGCGTCTTCTGATATTGTCGATCGCGGACAGCTTCCCCTACGGCGACGCTCTCCACAACATCCTCTTTACCTTCCCGCACTGATTATGAGGAGGAGATGGCACAGTGACCGCGTGAGGAGCGATCACGGTGGTCACGAAGATGTGATCACCACGAAGTGATGCGACCATCTCGCGCAATCACCTTCTTTCGGTTTTGGCTCGCCCGGCGGGCGAACCGATGCCGTTGGAAACGATTTATTAACGGTCGCGTTGATCTTTTTTGCATGTGTGCATGGAAACATATATGCGTGTGCCTGTGCGTGTGTACATATAAGAATACATAGTTGGATTGTAAAGTTGCGCGAGTGTAAAGAGAGATAAGCAGAGAGAAAAAAAACGGAGGGATTTTAACGACTATTGTTCCTATTAGGTTGTTGCATATGACATGCCTAAATTCTTTTTACGTTTTTATTTAAAATGTTGAGAGATTATTGGCATTTAAATGATGGATTGCTCAGAAAATAACGGCCTATTTCGACTTATATTGTGTTTTTTTTTAATTGCTTTTTATGAAGTAAGTATATTTACTATCTTCTTTTTTATTGATATAGTGTTAAAACTGACACAATATTTATCTTGTTTATGTCAATTTGATTTACTACATGATTTACTATATTATTCTTTTTTGATGATTTAAAAATATATTAGAGAATAAATTTCGCAATGGGAACCTAAATGCCTGTAAAAAATTATTTCTAGAGCTCCAGAATTTTTTCGTGATTATATTAATAATTTTGTTTCAACAAAAGTGTGTGGATTTTGATGATTTTTATTTAAAATTTGTTAGAAACATAAATTGTTAGTTATTAAATTTGCGCTTTGAAATCGGCTATTATTTTCTTGAATAAACTAAAACATCGATCGTTAATTGAAACGTTTTAATCGAGAGATATTTTATTTTCATGTATTAATATTTGTTCGATTTATCGCGTAGGAACGAGAGGTTGAATGTCGGGAACGATATTTTTGAATAGTTTAACGTTTTTATAAACTCATATGAAAACGTGCTGATTCGCCATTTTACCAGTGATTGAGCACAATTTAGATTTGAAAAAAAAAACATATCGTCTGTCGTCCCGGCGAATGATTTAGAAAGGGGAAGGAAGTGTTGAACTTGGTTTGACGCTAAGTTTGACTTGTTTTGTATGCAACAATGTAATGATCAGAGTAATCATAAAATCGTTGTAAAACGTGTGACGATGCTAGTCGACTGAGGATTTTTCTATCGTCGGAAAGGAGTCGATGTGAAAGTGGTGTAAATGTAATTAAATATTTGTAAATAAACGGAGAGAGAAAGAGAGAGAGAGAGAGAGAGAGAGAGAGCTGTAATTTCACGCCGAGACAAATTTAAGGTGTAAAGATACATTAACACGAGCAACGAAGTGGGTCAACGTTGTAAAATCTATGACAATATATATATATATACATGTATTGTCATGAGAATTACCTGCCGATATTGGCGAGATATTACCGCCATTACTAACGTTATAATTACAATAATTGCTGTAACAGTGAATTGCTGTCATATTTTCCACACGAGAAGCGATACGAGTGTGGCACGACGGTATATTTTATTTACACGCGCGAGAGATTGCTTTGATTCATCACCGCTCATTTTGTAAAGTTCACATTTTCGTGTAAATCTCGTTACGTATGAAAGTATATAGATATTTACAGGTTGCTACATAGGAAGAGAGATAAGAAGAGATTTGGAAAATAGGAGGAGGAGGAGGAGAGGTAGATTCGATATAGTATAAGACTCGACACGATTGCAATTTTGTGAATTTCATTTTGTTCCTCTAGTACAATTAATTCAGTAATATTCGTAGGTAAAATCAGTGTTTTTGCGATTAATCGAATTTGCCTTGCTCTTCCAAATCCGTCGCTACTACATATTTTTAGGAAAGAAAACCTTCTCTCATCGTTGTCCCTGCTATTCACCGATGATTGTTTAGTGTCGACAAAATATCGCGGTTCTCGACAAATAATCGCCGTATTTCTAGCAGAATATTCTATAAAAGAAGTGTTGCTCGTGTGTGGTGTGTGTATGTGTGTGTGCGCGATATGTGTGAATGTATGGTGCGTGTGGTGCGTGTGCGTATGTACGCGTACATGTGTATGTGTAAAGCTACTCGAAGGTGGAGCGCGTATACCGCGACCTTCTCGAAGGAGTTGAAACGGCGCTTTGTAGCCAACGAAATCGCTGTCAAGCATGGTTGTTGTTTTTATATCAACTGTCGTTCCAAATTCTATTGTATACTATACTTGCCCCTTGTTGTGTTTTATTATCTTTGGATATTTTATCTTGTGCTTCGATCGATCGTTAGATCGTCTATTTATGTATACATACTATTAATAGTGATAGTCTAAGTAATCGATGACGCGTAGGCGCGTTAGACTGATATGATCCTTTCGGATATACACGCAGGAATTTTCAAATAAATCCGCTGATTCCGTTACGATTTTCAACTGTGACACGTTCATTCGCCTCTTTCCGCTCGACCCGCCCTCGTATTATCCATTCGATCTTTTATCTAGTTATCGTTGTCCACCAACGTCGTTGGTTCGACTCGGCCATCCAGAGCCTTGCTTTGGAACGTAGGGTCGAAATCGTACGGTAATTTGGAACGATGCGTTTGGGAATTGTCACATTTGCAGAAATCGGTAAAGAAAGCGAGATGTCGCATTTCTTGTACCGTCGGCTCCGCCGGAGGTAAAGACAGTTTCGCTTTGGTCACGATGGGCGCCGAGCGTCGGATTAACGGCCGTTTCTTCGCTTTGGGTGGTTGCATAATGCGCTTCAACATGCTCAACAGTTGGTGCATCAGCTCGAACTGGCCGACAAATATTGTGATATAGAACAGAAGGAACAACATTATGATATATCATGATAGGAAAATATTTATAATCCGTAATAATAATATGGAAATAATTGCGACCCGAAATAGGCGACTGTGCGATCGTCGCCATAAGTTACAGCGCTTACGAAGCTTCTTACCGTAAAAACTGATATAAAAGGAGATATTTATAGACGAATGTTATGTTTGAGATCGCAAGCATGGGAGCGACTCACTTTTTCTCATTTATTAAAAAATACTTCATTTTTTCTTACTTGAAAAAATCCACTTTTTTACACGATTTAAATTGTTTAAAAAAAAAAATCAATCACAAGAAATCACGTATTCGGTAACTCTAGCTTTTCAAAAAAAAAAAATACAAAGAAATTAAGAAGTAACAGTGACTTCAACACGATGTTCGTAAAATGAAGAACTGCGATTTTATTTTTAAACTTTTTCTATCAAGTTCGTCAGAAAAACAAACAATGACTGTTATGAACACACCTGACTGGGTTTTCTTTAAATTGGATATTATTGAATATTATTCTTTAAATATTAAGAGGTTGACTAATTAGTGTGTTTTCAATGGAAAAACACATAATTTAAATATTTATATTATATTTTTGTTTATTTTAAGAATTTGTTATTGTTTGACCAAAAGATCTGGGATATTTCAACATCCTGGAAATATATTGCGATGTAGTTTAACTGGACTGAAGTATTGTTTTTTTTTTATTTTATTAAACGTACTTGAAAAACATAAAGAACTTGTAAAATAGAAAAACAATCTTTTAATCAATCTTTAATCAATTTTTTAACATACAAATTACTTGAAAAGGGCTTGCATTTTAATTACTTTCTCGAGACTGATTCAGTATTTTCTTACTTTTTCAAGAACGAAACTCATTTTTTCACTATTTTCAACTGCTAAATCGCTCTCATGCCTCAGATCTTAAGTTCATCTTTAGATGCAATACGGCTCATTGGTTACGGAGCGTCTGAAGATGAACTTGAGACGACCTTGAGATCTGATTATGAATATCGACCAAAGAGTATTTCCTGAAGAAATTTTTACCTTCCTCGCCGCATCCTCCGCTTCTTTCGTGGCTTTCATCTCTTGCCTGAAGCCTTCCTTCTCGCAAGCGCGGACGATTCGACGTGGCAGATTGTCCAGTTGGAGATTCAGTTCCTCGTGAGTCCTCTCGACCCACTTCATCATCGAGAAACTGTCGAGATTCGCGTCATTCGGGCCCACGCAAGTTTCATACGCGTCCTCGACGAAAACACGAAGGTGGAGCACCTCTTCGGAACAAACGAGATCCCGAAACACCCCTCGGAGAAGCTGATCGGCGTATTTCTCGAGACTCGCCGCTCTGTTCTCCGCCTCAGCGATGCGACCCTGTCGATACGACATTATTGCTTGTGTGAGCGTTAATGCTCGAGAGCGGGAAAACGGGGAGGAAGTGAATGAAAAGGTAGAAGGAGAATGGAAACATCTCTTGCGCGCTCAGCAGCGTGTAAGAAAAATTCCTTCAGCTTCGTACTTTCAAGTCGTCGATCGTCGACGAGATCTCGCCGACTTCCTGTTTGATGCGCGCCTCGGTCACGGCGATAGTCGTGGTCACATCCGCCATCGGGCCGGCGAGCGATTCCAGGTGTATGAGTGCGTTTAAATTTTGTGTCTCCATCGTTCGGAAAACTTGGATGAGTTCGAAAGGGTCCTCGAAGTAGAGCTCGGCGGGACCGGCTTCGGCAATGTCTTGCTCGAATAGCTCTAACAGCGAGACAGTTGCGTCATATCCTTTGTCAATTGAATCATTCTTCGGGACAATATCGAGATGTCCAGGAATACTCGATGGAAGAACGCGCGATCGGAAATCGTAGTACAATCGAGAAGAAGACGACCGCCCCTCAAGCAAGAGAACTTCCTTCTTCTTCTTCGGTTAAGTCAGAAAAAATTTTCCCATATATGTCTTGACGTTTGACGCTAAGTCCGGGTCTACAATAGGTGTAGCAAGATTTTGGCCTTCGGTCTTTTTTAACGTACAAATATCGGTTATAAATTCCGATTCTCTTCAATAGCAACATTTATACCTAATATTTTAGATTCACTGAAACTTGGACATTAGATTATCGGCTTTGCGAGTAAAATAATTTCTTTAATTTTGCAAATAATTATCAACGCCGATTCTTATCGGCCTCTTCCAATTCCTCGGCAATCAAATATAACATAATTTCTGAGAAAAGACGTTTCTCCACACTGCCAAGAGTTCTAACGACACTTAAATCTTGGGAATTGCGGACATCTAATGTGCACCGGAGGCACTTTTTGCTAGAAATTACGTTGTAATTTAGTGCTCAGGTGCAAAGGACTAAAGGCTCACTACACCTGTCCCTAGACCCGGACTAAACGTCTTGTCTCGAGTCACCTATCAAGTCTTCCAATGAGGCGTCGTCGTCCGGTGTTCCGTATCTACCGAACAAGTCTCCGGCGTTAACAGAGATGAGACTGCCCGTTTCAAGCCGGTGCAGCCAGTCGTGCTTGATCCTCCAGGCGATGGGCGACAGCCGGTAGAGAAACAGTTGACACATCTTCACCATCCTCCAATTTTCCTCCCAGAAGTAAATGTCCAGTCTGATCTGGCCATATTGCTTCGCCAGTTCGTTTCTACGTACAGAGATCTGGGCAGTTTGCTTCGCTTCAAGTTCCGCTCTCTCCAGTATGTTCATACTTTTCTTGTGATCCTTCGATAAAAACTCTTCGAAGCTGTTCACATATCGCTGATGGCGGTTCTGTTTCCGGAGAAAAAAAGAAGATACTTGTATCGGAATCAAATTCTTATTGGTTACTCACGTGAGAAAACTTCTGACAAGTGTGAACATTAAAAGGGAAAAAGTCAGCTTTCGAACCGACTTTGGAGAATATAAATTAATCATGCAAAACTATATACGTGTGTTTTGGCATAATTAACTTCTTAATTGTAGATCAAATTTATGTGAAATAATGGTGAGGTAATCTATTGTAAGGAAATTCGACCGTTTTATGCTCAGGTTTCCAGAAGAACACTAGCGCACAAAAAGACGTGAGAAAAAAAAATTTCTGCTGATGTTATTTTTGACTTTTTTATTCTATATTACAAGCAGCCCCGCAATGATTTTAACGTTGATGAATGATGTTAACTTATATAAAAAAACTTTATAAGTTAAAATTAAGATATTTTAAATCAACTAGTTTACAAATTAAAAAGTTAATTCCTTGAAAATTAACTGTTAAAAATTATTAATTTTTTGACTTAGCTTTTAACAGAGTATTATCATTCAGCCTTGATTGTAAGATGTACATTCTTGCCGAAAATAGCATCATCAATCTTGCCAGAGTTCTTTGAAAGAGAAATCCGTTTCTCCATTACGAATGAAGCAACTTATACCTGGATCTTTTGTAATCGATTCGACTCCTGCTCGAACTGCTGATCAATGCGAATACAATCGTCCCTCTCTCGGCCAATGAGCAGTCTTGTCCTCAACACCTCTCGAATGTCTAATATATATTGTTCCAATGAAAACTTTTCTTTCACAGGTCTGCCAGATAATTCCGTAAAATATTCCGGATGTACGTCCGTCATAGCAATCACCTTGTGCGGATCTATGCGTTCCTTTGTCATCTCTGATTCTACATCAGCAACTATCTGCACACAATCTTTTCTGAGAAACGTTACTCAACTGATTTCATCATATGGGAAAGCACGTTATATTCCCTTTCTCGTCTTTCTTTCATTTTCTTTTAATGAATGATTTAGTTAACTGAACTTAACTTACATGCGGTTTTTGTGCGGTTTCAACACCTGGCCAACTTTTCTGAGATACTTTATTGCGTCCGCTAATCGTTCTTTTCTTCCGTACTTCCCACCACTGAAGATAAGCCAAGGTTTGTGAGCAGGAAGGAAAGTTAAAGGGTGACTGTTTCTTTGTCAAGTTTCTCCCTCCGGCCAAACCTTCGCGGTTTTGGCGAGTTCTACAGTGTTTTATCAAAATATGTTATATAATTCATATCATTTTCTCTCTTTGAAGATGCATTTTAAAAAGTACATTCATTTTATCTTAGAACAAGTGTAAAGTCGCGTGGCTAAAAAGACGAAATATTTCAATCTTACGATTAACCTTGGAAAATTCTTACGATGAAGAGTGTCATTGTTAAAGGCCGATCCAGTGCTGGCGCCTTGTGACTGACGAATCTTTTCATCGATTCTGCGTTTTTGAGAAAAATGCGTCATTCTCTCATCAATCGATGATGGCAAACATTAATGCGAACTCGTAATAATTGCAAGAGACTTGCGGTACGACCTGGTTTGTTTGACATGCGCCCTGCCTCTCCCTCTCATATCGTACTATATTCAACGCGAGTTTTGTATATGCGGCTTCCAATATACCGAGTGTCCCACTTAGGATGCAATGAACTTCTTTCTCACCAAATATATCCGTTTTTTATTGAACTCAATACTCTGATCATATACTTTTTGAGAGCAACGAGAGAAATCAATGGATGTTTTTACGGTTTGAACAATGCACCAATGCAATCGCACTTTTTTTCAGACACAGCTGTGTCTTTGGCATCAATCTTGTGACACCGTGTTAATTCCGTCGACAGAGGGATACGCATCATTTCCTAGATATGTGTGTATTACACAAAAATAAACATGATTAAATAATATAAATTATTTATATTTGTACACATATATTTTTGATTGCACAATTAGAATACATCGGGTATTTCGGTAACATGTCCTACGTAAGCACTATCTTCAAAGTACGTGTAATTACAAACGAGTTAAGCGGGCGCTTTTACACTCTCAAGCTTTGTACGCAACTGAACGAGAGCTTAAGCAATAATAGTCGAGATAGAATTGGAAAATGGGGGAACGAGAGACAGAGAGGAAAAGAGAGAGAAAAGAGGGAAAAAGAGGGAAAATATTATTTGCGCGTTCTTGGAATACAATCCCCCTCAAGTGTGGAGAGGAAGGCCGACTGGCAATTCATCGTGAAACAAGCGGAGGCGAGGGAGAATTTAAATTAATATGAGAAACTTGACGCATTTTCCTGATGAATAAACTGTAATATCGGTAAGCGTAGCGTAGCAGAGAAAGAGAGAAAAAGATGTAAAGTGACGTTTGCTTCACGCGGACGCGCGAAAGGTCAGGGTCTCTTCCAGACAGCGAGCGAACGAAACGAGCCTTCGTCTTTTCGACCGATCGCTCCTGCGTCGAAGTATGCGTAGTTGCAATCTCGCCTCGGAGAGCAGCCGAATCCTCACCCTCCCCCTATCCGTAGCTGATGGTGTAACCCATAGACAGCATCAGCGTCTCCTTTATCGCCGGATGTAACTGGCGCTCGATGTACTTGGTTAACGCTTGGCTGGCACCTTGCAAAAACACATCTTCCATTTCGCGCGTGATGTGCTCCTTCGACTGCCAGCTTCTGTTCGGGCCCTCCGTGTCGACGGAGAATAAATTGTCGAGATGATCGTCCAATACGAGCTCCCTCACTTCGCGCGACACGTTACGCGCCGGCTGGTCTTCGTTTCGCAGGCTGTCGGTCAAATTGAGTATCTCGACCAGGTTCGCCGGTTGTTTCTTCCTCCCGGCCGGCGCTTTCTCTTCGTTGACAAGGGAGCGCGCGACTCGTCGAATTGTCGTAGTCGTCGTCGAACGTCTCCGGCGTAACGGTGACTTGGTGATCCAGGAATTCTTCCTCCATACACCGTTGCTCGTTTTAGGAGTGCGCGAGTAATGTGGATGTCGGCTCTCGTCGGGCACGACAACGTCCACCTCCTCGGTAATGCCCACCAGCTGCCTCGGTTCCGCCGCGTCGTACTTGTCGCTCACGGCCAGTGCCGGCGTCGGTGTTACCTGCGGTGTTTGAAGAAATGTAGAAGGTGAAAGGCGTGCGTACGCTGTCATCTCCTTTTTGCTTTCCAAGTCACGAAGCACAAGTGTTATGTAACAATGTTACATACATTGTTGAATAGGAAATTATAACTAATAGTTATGTAACTGCAATTTGATGTTTGTTGGGGTTTTTATATATACGAGGGCAGTCCGATAAGTACTTAGCCTACAAAAGAAAAACGAAAATTTTGGAAAAGTGGCGATTTATTTCTCAACATAGTCTCCTTTTAGCTCGATACACTTGACCCAGCGATGCTCCAACTTCTTTAACCCATCTGAAAAATACGTTTTCTCGAAGTCTGCACAATAGGCCTCCGTGGCGGCGATGACCTCCTCATTCGGCCAAATTGATCGAATTGGACTACGAACTGCTGCCCCATCCACCGTATTCTCCAGATTTGGCCCCGTGTGACTTTTTTTTGTTTCCAAACTTGAAAAAGTCACTCGCCGGGCAGAAATTTGAGTCGAATGAGGAGGTCATCGCCGCCACGGAGGCCTTTGCAGACTTCGAGAAAACGTATTTTTCAGAAGAAGTTGGAGCATCGCTGGGTCAAGTGTATCGAGTTAAAAGGAGATAATGTTGAGAAATAGATCGCCACTTTTCCAAAATCTTCGTTTTTCTTTTGTAGGCTAAGTACTTATCGGACCGCCTTCGTATATATATAATTAGAAGACAAAAACATCAGCTCACTTTGTGATTAGCCGAATGATAGGGAGGCCACTTGTCCTGCCGCTTGATCTGCTTGTCGAGACGCGCCGGATGGCAGCCGTACGCGTATATCGAGGCGAACCTCGGCTCCAGGAAGCTCGACTCCGTGCGTATGCGCATCTGGCCGCGTCCGCGCGCGATCGGACTGGTGAGGAAGTCTATCCCGGCGCGTCTCAGCCGCAGCATCATTCTGCAGGACTCGACGGGGATCGGGGGGGCGCGATGGTCCCTCGGCATCAAGGACACCATTCCGGACACCGACAGGTCGTTGAAGACGACGCGCGTCCTCAGGGAGTTGCGGCTCGGCTCAAACACGCATCGTTCCACTCGCGCCCAATGCCCGGCCATCTGCTCCTTCGTGTTCTCAGGCAGCTGCGAAAAGTCACCCAAGTCACCTACGTCATCCGCATTATTCGTATTTCGTCCGTTTAAACGACAGGTCGGGTAGTGGTGGTTCAAGGGTGGCGGGTGGGATGTTCACCTTCACGGCCATACGGGAGACGGACATCTCCAAGGGAGCGGAGCGCAGCTCACGCTGATACGACAACCCGGTCTCCTCTTCGTCCAGCTTGTTCCTCCTGGTCGAGTCCCTGTGGAGGGCGTCCAGAGCATGCTCCAGCCTGCCGCTGCACGCATCCCAATTGCTGATGCCGGCATAAGCGATCGGCAGGAGGATCAACGACCAAAACGCTGGCTGTCTGAACTGCATCACCTGTGTTACGAGAGTGACGGCTTAATTCGTCCGGGCGGAGGAATATTCTCGCTGAGTTCAACAGTCAACGGTGAGGAGCGTGAAATCGTAGGGGGAGATTTCTAGTTTTTAGTATACGAACGATTGTTAATGACGCAAAAATGATAGAAGAAGGGGAAGAAGGAAATGGGAAGGAGCCGCGCAACGGCGGCCAGCGCGCGCGTTAATGTCGGTCGTCTAACGAGGTGATAATTTTAATTAACAGCACGCAAATGAAACTTTGCACCTGGGAGTGACGCGACAGTCGGATTACGCCTATGTCCTGCCATTAAAATATCTCCCAGGGCATATCCTGTAGAAACTCGGTGAATTCAGGCGGCTGAAACAGAGCATGAAAGCGTCTCCATTCCGCCCGTTGTGTCAGCGCCGATCGTCGACTGTGTGAAACTAGGAAGTGAGTAGAATTTCTTTTCGGCTGCTCATTAACGTTAATGAGTGCCACGGCGAAGCGATACAAATCTATATAAGACTAATAACGTCGTTATTAGCGCGATGCAATTTCGCGGAAAGAGGAAAGACACCTCTCAGACTCTCTTTCGACTCGGGGCTCAATTAAGGTGGGAATATTATCGGTCCGATTGAATAAATCCGTTCCGATCGATGAAGTTTACGGTCGTACGGCTGGATCGCGCTGCCGAAAAGAGCCCGCCGAGAGATCCGACGCATAGATACGGCGAGATTTTACGTTTTTTCATCTTCTTTTTATTTTATCATCTTCAATCTCAACCGACGACTCCTCCAGTCCCGATGATGCGCGCGAATCCTGCGCGTCGCGTCCGCCGGCCAGGTATTTACAAACTCGCACGAGTCAAATCGCGCGAGATTCGCCGTGGTGAAATTGCATTATTCGCTTTTGTATGCTAATGGGGAAATCCCGGCCCCGTCGTTTATCCCGCCGACGCGTTCTCGCGCTCCGTTAATCATTTTGGCCGCGCTCGATAGATATTTGCGCAATGGTCGAACGAATCTTCGCCCGGCGCCTTCCCTTCTTTCACGTCGACGATTTGTCAAATTCACGCTTTCGCGAAATATCGTGTCGCCGAGATCGAGCCTCGTTGAAGGCATCGTGGAACACTTCGCGTAATTTGAGTTTTCTCTTCCTTAATATCACGCGTACTTCTTTCTCTCTGCGAATATATATTGAAAAATTAATCTATATCGCATTATCAAGGTGGATCGAAGTTTGCGAAATTCGTTACTTGCAATTAATAATGTTCACTTACACTTGGTTCGCGCGGAGTGGTTGAATCGCGTTGTCCTCGTCTTTCGATGACGACGACGACGGGTACGTCAAATCGGTGCTCGTGGTGAGGTGCGCGAGATCACACTCGCACCTTTGCTCCGAGGCAGATCGAAGAACAATGAAAGTGGTCGCCGCCACCCGCGCTCAGACACGCACCGCGACGATACGAGCTATTCTTTTCTCTTTACAAGCGTTGCGTGCACCTACCGCGCGGCGAAGGAGAGATATGAGGTAAAAGGTAAGACAAGCCTCACGCTGGCGCTTTGCAGAATGTAGGACGGGCTATTGTACTGGATCGTAATCAACGGAAATGAGCATAACGCAAGCGAGCTTTTCCAGCAAGCTCCAACACACGGCCCGGTAAGGTGTGTGTGTGTGTGTGTGTGTGTGTGTGTGTGTGTGTGTGTGTGT